TGTGTGTGTGTGTGTGTGTGTGTGTGTGTGTGTGTGTGTGTGTGTGTATATATATACACATATATATATATACACACACATATATATACATATATATATACACACATAAGTACAGTGAAAGTGTTGAAAAACAGTAAAAGTAATAAAGATAACTAAATATGTAATAACCAATTTGGATGTGACCATATCTTTATGATCCGTGTATACCACTCGGTAAATAACATACCGCCTGTCTCTCACTGGTATGGCAGAAACCACAGACCTGCAATTTGCGTTCAGCAGTCGTTTCATACACACCCGTTTGTTCCCTCTATTCCACTAACTTCAATTATAAGTTCAATCAGTTGAACTAATCGGACACAAATAGTCCAGTTAGTTCAACTAGGTACAACTTTTCAAAAAGTTGAACTTATTGGACGAAATTCCACTCTGGTAGTTCAACTTTCCAATTATTTCAATAATAGTTCAACGTATAACTGATAATATTCCTTATTATCTTTATGTGTAGTAGGAGAACCAAACCAAATTAGGAGCACGAGTAAGGAGCGAACATGTAAGTTGAACTAATTAACTCGACTAAACAAATAACGTTAATAGCATTATTTATATAAAATAACCTTTTTTTATCCATCCACAATATAACTTAAAGTTAACATTAGGGGCCTAGTAGGCCATGACAATACTAGAGGTGTTTTATACATGCATTAAAAAAAATCTGGATTTACAGTTATCGCTTAAACTTTGCTATCTATTCTATATCATTATATTATATTTAATTACATATTTATTAATTGTTTTATATCAACAACAATAACAACATGTTCAACTTAACATGTTATCAGTTATACGTTGAACTATTATTTAAATAATTGGAAAGTTGAGCTAACAGGATGAATTTCGTCCAATAAGTTCAACTTTTTGAAAAATTGTATCTAGTTGAACTAATTGGAATATTTGTGTCCGATTAGTTCAACTGATTGAACTTATAGTTGAACTTAGTGGGAAAGACGGTTTTTTCTTGTCACTTTTGACCGGTCTTTTGTTACGAACACTTTCAAACTGATTTAGATTATTACAAATTCAATTGGTTGAAATAGCATGACCAATGCGCAAGCGCCGAATCTACAAATGCCATTTGTTACTTACCAAATACCTCGAGATAATCGAGACCGCACCGAGTCATTGAAAGCTCTAATTTCTACTAATGTTTAAATGAGAGAGACAGAGTAATAAAGGACTAACCACACACATCAGTAGGGCTGGCACTTCAGGGCGCGACTAACGCGAGAGCTACATAAAGCGCGACATACTGCCATTCTCGCATAGAGATTTGGCTATGTCGCTCTCGCACAAGTCGCGGTTTATCGTGCTAGCCCTACATGGGCAAGCGGCGGGCGCCGGCGCTCATTTAAACGAGCACGGCCCGTTCACGTCCCGGTCACGGCCCTGATGTGTGTGGTTAGTTCTTAAAAGTCTCGAAACTTAGATATATAGATAATACATTTATTCAGCACAAATACAAACAGAAACAAAACATTTACAATCACTTCACAGAGTATAACATAAAAGCACATAGAACATTCATTATTAATTTTATACGCTTTTATATAAAACACATACTGCGAGAAAAACAAATACTGTGAGGAAAAGAAACAAATTCTATAAGACCTGATGAAATTTTAATGTCCTGCCCCGACTCAGCATAAATACTGTAGACCGAAAGAAGTCAAACAGTGCCTGTTTTTTGCCAGTACCATATGGTGAGCGATCGCAGCCCAGGAAGCCATGCCACATGCAAATATATACTAACTTCTTAGATTGTACAAATCTACTCAATAACTGTTTCAACTAATACTGATTCTGTTGCATTAACATTGCATTTCGAAACTAGTAAATAAATTGAGTCGGTTAAGCCGTTTTTGGGGCGTTAAATTTTGAATGTATACTTCTTATCGTTGGCATACACTACAATGCTCGTCGTCGCGGTGACAGGATTTGCCAATCGGCGTAAGGTACTTGCCGATTGTTGCCCAGGATACCCAAGGCGTACAGGACACGTGCGTCAACGTGCACAAATGTATACTTATGTATGTTTTACAACATCAGATCTCATAAAGGCGGGAGAAGTTGTTGTGGGATACGAATGATTGTGGCCATTGATTATGGGATTCAGAAATCTCTGATTGCGTAATCAATCAGTCAGCACGAACTTCGCACCTTATCACCGCTTCTTCCATCTAAACGAAAGGATCTAACGCTGTCTTGTGCTGTTACAGTGTGAACACCTTTTCATTTTGAGTGATAATGGCTTAAGATACTATATCGTCTCTTTTACCACGAACAGACATAACTTGCAATTTAGACAGAATAGATTATTTACATAGTTGAATTCAGAATTTAATGTCCTACATTGTGGTGTAGCTAATTGTAAGGTACGTGCATTGACTTACAATTATATGGACGTCGGGTCCGCGCTAAAAAGT